TTGCAGATGATATTTTAAGTTACAAAATGAGACTCAAAACCGTACTTTCTCTGAATAAACATGCCTTTTTTTCCCGTCGCATTCGGATTTCTGAACCCCAAAATATGAGGAGCAACTGCAATCATTTTTAAGTTTTACAACTTACTAGAATCATATTTCCTAGATTGCAGTTGCTGCAAATTGGCAGATTGCAGATTGCAAAAAGGCATGTTTATTCCCTTTAATGTCGGTCAGGAGAGTGCTCCAAAGCTTGGATCGCTTTAATGTTAATTTTATTTTTTGCGTATTTTGCTTCATCTTGAGTACTTTTTATGTGAATTGTAAAATTCGTTTATCCGAAGATAATTCAGTGCAAAAAGTATTTTTTAGTAATTATTTATTATTTATTTATTTTTTTATCATTTTATTTTATAATGTACGAAACAGTTTATTTTATAAAGTACGAAACAATTGCAAGCTATACAATTTTTTACACCATTTTAAAGTATGTAATTTTACATGGGAAAGTACAAACTTGAGCGAAATCAGTTGAGTAGTTCAGAAATTTTTTTTTTAAATACCTGACATTATTGAAATGGTCAAAAGAGTAAAAAAGTATAGTCAAAACTAGTAGAATATGGTATAACTTACTGTGTTCCGGTCCCTATGAGAACACCCAGAAACAAAATAATTTTTATCAAGGCGCTTTGGTAAAGATCTAGTAATATTAACAATAAAATATTGTTTTATAATAGGTGTGGTTTATGTGGTTAAATTTAGTAATGTTATCATGATAAGTAGGAGCATGCCATGAAAACCATATATTCGGTTAAATTTATTTGTAAGTTTTGTATGTTTTACTAAATGTGTGGTTAAAGGAACTATTATTTTAGAAAACCGAATTTACAGTAAACCTTTACCATATGAACAGAAAAATTACTGAATGAATAGCTTAAATGCTGCATTTTTTTTTGTTTCAAGAATAAAAATTATGTTGCCTTCTTTAACCAGGAATATCATTACCATTCAGTGCAGTAAATTTACCAGAATTTTTTCTCCGTGTTTGATTATAAAGTAAAATATGGATGTCTATATTTTGCTAAAACTATTATGATCTTATTTTGGTCTAAAAGGGGATTTATTCTCTTCTGAAAAATAAAGGTTGAGTAATACATAAAAAAAATTCGAGATAAATTTATTGAAGCAATAAGAAAGTAAACATAGTCAAACTTAAACTCAACTCAAACCAGTCAAACTTAATTTAAAATGTATTGAACAGAAATTCAATGAAAGTGACGGCTTGTCTATTTAACATATGAAGAGAGTCTCAACATTTTTAAATCTTATTCATACTTTTTTTTTCGGCATTTTGTCACATAAATTATTCTTTTAATTTCCATAAATACAAATTTTATTGATTTAAAATTTTATGATTTTGTTTTAAAAGGAGAAGAATAATCAATTCAAGAAAATATAAAATACCATTTTTTTAAAGGAAAAATGAGTGGTCCAATTAAACTTAATGTCGAGTGTTTTGAAAAGAAATACAATGAAATCGGTTGCCTTTTCTGTTCAACATTAGGAAATCTCAAATTGCTTAAATTTTATTCAGAAATGAATTTTTTTTAGAATTTTTCTCAATTAATAAAATTCTTCTTCATTCCCTAAATGTAAATAAATTTTTAAACATTATGAGTTTTTTTGATAAAAGGAGCAAGTAACAAATTAAAAAAAATGCAAGGTCAATCTACTGAAGTAGTGAAAAATTAAAAATACTCAAAACGGACATGTAAATATTGTAATAAAATCCAAAGGAAACGATTGCTAGCCTATTTGACGTAGTGATAAAATCTCGTTCTGCTTAAAGTTGATTATTTTAATACTTTACGAGATTAAACACTCTATTGCTATGCTTAAGTGTGCCATAAAAAAACGAAAAAAGAAAAAAAAAAACAGACCATCTTGAATAATTTTCGATTTAATGATCGGATTTTCACGTTCTGCGATTCAAATTTAATGGTTCGAAGGGGTGATCTCAAATATGCTTATTAATTATTCCAGACGATTTTTGAAGTAACGAAATCAGACACAAAAATGTGGTATGGTCAGGAGATCTATTCAAAAACCCTTAATGTTAATTTTAATGTTTGCGTATTTCGCCATATCTCGAGAACTTTTTAAGTGAATTGAAAAAGTTTTGAATACAATGATATAATTCATTTATCCAAAGATAATTCCATGAAAAAAATAAATTTTTCTAAATATTTATTATTTTTTACAATTTTATTTGATGATAGTTAAAAAAAATTTAATTTAGCTGAATCATTTGAGTAATTTCTGAGAAATCAAATTTTAAAAATACTCAGAAACTATTCAACCGATTTCGCTAAAATTTTGTATTCTGCCATTTACATACTTTAAAATGAGGTAAAAAATTGCATTCCCTACAATTCAAACATTTTTTGAATATTAATAAAGAAAATAATTAAAAATACATATTTACTAAAATATATTTTTCACATGAAATTATCTTTGGACAAACAAATTTTATCATCATCTACACTAATTAATTAGCATATTTGAGGTCACCCTTTCGAACCATTAAGAATGAGTTCTAGAAATTTAAGATCTGATTATTAGATCAAAAGTCATTCAGGGTACTCCGTTTTTTTGATGTCCTGTACATATGAATTTAATGTTTTAAAAACGTTTTGATTTTTCTTCAGAAAACAGCAAAATTATAAATTCTATTAACAGAAAAATAAATTCATTGAAGTTATTTCATTGAAGTTAGTAAAGGGTGATTGGGAAAAACATAGTGTAAGATGTATTGAACAGAAATTCTATGAAAACAACTGTTTGCCTGACGAACAAAGGAAAACATATGTTTCAGTTTTAAACTATTTTTCTCCACAATTTTCGTCGTGATTCGTCAAACTCTGCTTTACTTTTTTAATTTTTTTCTAAATAAAAGTTATTTTTTGACAAAAAAGCTTTATTTTTTAAAAAAAAATCTGATATTTTTTTTGATAATGGGGAAAAATATTAAATTAAAAAAATGCTAAGCAAACTTTTTGAATTGGCAAAAAAGCAGAAATATTCAACTTGGGCAAACTTAATATAAAATATATTGAACACTAAGGGAAAAAAATTCTAGTAAAATTATCGTACAGTATGATACTGACATTTTTCGTTAGGAAAACCATAATTCTTTTAATAAAACCTAAATATATGGTATTTAAACCATTCATTTAATAATTATTCCGTTCATACAGTAACGATTTACCCGAAATTCTAGTTTTTAAAATTATAGTTCTTCTTGCCACACATTTAGTAAAAAAAAACCCTGAAAAGTCAATTTTATCAAATAAATTATTTTTATGCTACGCTCCGAGTTATCAATAATAAAATTATCGAATTTTACCACAACTACTGAATTATGAAACATATTATAAAGTAATATTTTATTGTTAATTTTACCAAAATAATTATGAATGAGGTTAATAAAAATTGCTTTGCTTTTTAATGTTCCTATAGAACCAGTAAGTTTAGTAAGTTTAACTATGTTCTGGTAGTTTTGACCATACTTTTTTTTTCAGTGCAGTGTCTCATTTATGTATGCATTCCTCACTTTTCTTCGAAACAAATTACTGAAGTACAAAAACATTTCTGTATAAATTCTATGAATTCGAAATATAAGTTGGCCATGATGTGGTACGAAAAATTTATTAAAATATAAAAATTGAGAGGGCAATTTTGACATTTGTTCTATGGCTTCCGGAGCTGGTACGTCGGCTTCGGTGGCCATATTTTTATTTACATTATTTTTTTCTTTATTGCTTCAATATAAAAATATAAAACTATTATTTCTATTTATAAAATAATTTAATTACTATAAAAATTGATAAAAAATTTTATTGTTAATTTTACCAAAAGCGTAACAACGAAAACAACCTAGCGAAAAACAACCTGCGAAAAACAACCTAGATTTTTGGAATTCTACATAACCAGAAATGAGGTAAATTTTATGATATTCTGTCACTTTTGACCGTATTTTTTTCTGTGTGTAGAAATCTGAGGACAATGCTTGTTAGTTTGTTCGTCTCATCAGTTTAACTTTTTTAAAATTTTACCGCATTAAAAATTCCTTTATTTTGTACTTTTTAGTTAACTGGGCAAAAAGGAAATTCAATTATTTTTTTAATCTATTTCTTTTTCTTCTTTTATTTATTTTTATGAGCTCCCATTTTATGCAATGTTAAAAATATTAAAAAAAATACTAAAAAAAGGAGAAAAAAAAGCTGGCGGATTTCTACATTTCCTTGCTTTACGCTTCCTAACCGAAAACTATTTTTTCTGAATATAAATGTAATATTTTTATATTTTTTGATTGACCCGTTCACTTTCGAGTGAGGTGATCCGGGTCCGTTTCCCGGCAATGGCTGGTCAATACGAATTCCGCATCCCGCTTGCACCAACCACAGTGGCGACGAAAAATATCCTCAGTGGTAGACGAATCATGTGTGGTTTTCACGGTTTTCCCCTCCATGTAAAGCAAAGGCGGGTTAATTCCATCAAAAAGTCCCCCTCGAAGGAAATATTTCTCTCAATACTTGATCCAGGAGTTCCCTTGTCTTCTGGATTTGGTTCAAAATTATAATGCTACGGAGTTGATCATTAGTAGTCGTAAACCCACAATTGGGTGGGCTGTTCAAGGACTGTTACATAATAAAATAAAATTTTCTGATTTATCTTTGAAAAACAGAGAAACAATAAATTCAACAGAACACGAAATAAACTTATTGAAGTAATAAGAAAGTAAAAGACGGACCAGACAAACTTAATGTCAAATGTATTGAGCAGAAAACGTCTATGCAGCATAAGAAGAAAGTTTCATCATGCGTAAATTTGGGAACTACTAGAATTATTTCTTTTGCCAATGACCTGCATACATGAAAATGTTTTTAGTTTTGGATAACGATGCAGGTGGACATCGATTTGGAAGTTTGGCCTTTAGGCACGTGGAAGGGAAGTTCAGTCCTACCCTAGTGAACAGTAATCATTACGTTAATCGGTATTCAGACAGACGGGCTTTTTATTTCTTCTCAGAAAATCGACTCCAGTTTCTTGAAACGACTTCATCTTCAACATTTTATTTTGGGTAGGTTTTAATTAATTCTATAAATTTATTTTTAATTCATTTTAACATTAATTTAATTTATCGATAAATTGAATGAATTTTTTTTCTTCATTATTACGTTTAGTCATATTTACGTTTTGATTTTTGTGAAGAATTCGCACATATTGACGTTTTAAGGTATCAAATAAATGTTCACATTGAATTTTTCAACATGCTTTTCTACAAACTAAACTTGTTAGCACTTTTAATTTTATTTTACATTGCAATGTAAATATTTTTATTTTCCTTTGCAAAATGTAAAACATTTCTATTGAAAAAGATAAAAAGTTACACAAAGGAAAATATTTCAACAAAAGTGACTAAAATTCTTTTATAGTAGTTCAAGCGACTGTACATTAATTTATTAATATAATATTTTCTATGAAATTTTTAAAATAGTGCACATTACTAAGTGTTTCTAAAGTAGGAACAAATCGGTTATAAAATGAATTAAAATCCGAAATGACTTTCAATTGGTTCATTTTGTATACTCCCATTATAATGGAGGCTTGTATAGTTGTCAAAAACCTCTTTAAAATGTTTGTTTCCTAATGATAAATGATTTAAAAACCACATTTCAGTATTTATTAAAAATGTTTTTTAATTATTTCAAAAGAGCATTTCAGCATTTATTAAAAATATTTTGTATTTTTTTTAAAAGGAAAAGAATTAAAAAGAAATAAAAAAAAAAGAAATATTTTAAATTAATATGAAATATTACCAAAACAGACGTATTTTTAATAGACAGTAAGGTCCTTTTTGTCACTCTGTTGATATGACAAATTTTCGTTGTTTTCCTCAACAAAAGCAAATTTGTAGGAAAATTTAAAAAAAAAAAAAGTTTCTCTCTCATCAAATTTGTATAACTTTGATGAGATTTGTATAACTCCACAAATANTAATCTTATATATATATATATATATATATATCCCTTTTAATATGAAACATATTAAAATTTTTTATCTCTTTGAAGACATGGTTAATAGCTAATGCACACTTTTATGTACCCATAGTGATTTTTATAATAAGACGAACTAACAAGACAAAACAAGAAAAAGTTACAGTGCAAAAATAGTTGTGTAATAACTATCCAAAGTCGATTTTGATTTGAAAATTGCGTTTTAAAAATTTGAAATTTGCGCGTTATTTCAAATTATAACCGAATCAAGTGTTTTTACACGGATGAAAGGGTGAGATTAAAAGTAAATTCCTGATTAAAAGTAAATTCCTGAAATGAGAAAGTCACAGAAATAATGTTCTTATTTAATTGAAGAATTATTTTTGCCAATGTTTGAGTCAGATAATTTGTCAAGCAATCGGTAATTTTTATTTACAATTGATGGAGAAGGTGAAAGTTTGTTTTTCGCCTATCACGATGCTGAATATTTAAGCGAAATGTTCAGCATCGTGAAAGTGAGCATTGAAACAAGCGAGTCAACTGTCATAAGAAGCCGCGCATGTTTTTAGTTCTACAATAACGATAATTATGTCCTTATAAAATGATTTACATAATTATGTCAACTGTAATAAATAATTTTATAATATTTAATTTCTATCAGATTTGGTTTTGTTAAGTTTTTTTCAAATTCATATTAAAATTCTATTTATATTGTGAGTAATGCATGATTAACAAACTAATTTATTTTAAGAAATAACGTATAGATGCAATATCGTAAAAATAACTTTGCTTATTCTTATGAGTTTCATATCTTACAGTAATTACAGAATTTAAGCGTTTCAGAATAACAAAAATTGAGGCGGCTACTTTATGCTGTAAAAGAACATTCTTACTGTTTCACTGCACCAGAAACTATCCTTGGTTCTTGGTATAATCGAACACAACTTTTGTGTAAAGTGCTCGCTTCCATTTTTAATGTAAATGTATACTAACCTTTTTCGCAATGTAGACAAAGCTAACAAGAATGTATAGTACTTTTTTGAAATAAACTTGCCCCCATTTTTAGCGCTAATTTACACTAATCTTATTTACAATGTAGACAAAACTAGCAAGAAGGCATAGTATTTTTTTAAAATAAGCTTACCACCATTTTTAATGTACACTAACCTTTTTTTGCAATGTAGACAAAGCTAACAAGAATGCATAGTATTTTTTTGAAATAAGCTTACCACCATTTTTAGCGTTAATTTACTCTAATCTTATTTACAATGTAGACAAAACTAACAAGAATGCATAGTATTTTTTTAAAAATAAGCTTGCCACCATTTTTAGCGTTAATTTACACTAATCTTATTTACAATGTAGACAAAGCTAACAAGAATGTATAGTATTGTTTTAAAATAAGCTTACCATCGTTTTTAATGTACACTAACCTTTTTTTACAATGTAGACAAAACTAACGAGAATGTATAGTATCTCTTCCAAACTCTCTAGTAATCTCCTAGTAATAAATACAATATTTTGTGAAATATAATACGCTTATGTTTCAGATGAGAATAGTAATAAAGACAGTAGCAAATGAAAGCTTCTTCAAGAAGGCTGATCTTTTTCCAATTTCTTACTTTGCGTTATCTAAGATGGCTTGTATTTCTTGCTTTGATTTCCACACTTTGCTTTTCCTATCATACATACATAAATAGAAGGAGTAAAACAAGAAATGAACTAGAAAATTGCTTCAAAGGTACACTTTGTTTTGTTTCATTTCTGTATAGAATGTTTTGGTGTATAGTTGCCACTGTTTTGGCTTTGGTGTTTTCATTGTTAATTTTTCATTTTTTTACTGGTTCATTATTGCTTATTTGTTTATTGAAAATACATATGTTCACGCACATTCGAATCAATTTATGGCTTTATTGTTGAAACATTTTGTTTAAAAGATAAATACTTTTTAGTAATACATTTTTAATATATCACATTTTTAAATTTTATGTAATTTTTCGACCGATCAATACAGTTCAGTGTACAGTTTACCTCGACACCAAAAAAGGTGGCATATATATACCAAAAACTATCACAGTCCAAGTATAACGATGATTTAATTGTTTATCAAATTTATATCAGAATTATTTCAACTATAAAACCACTTTGAAAGATATCATATATTTCCTTATACTCCTTACTAATTTAACTTTAAAAAAACAGTTGCAATCAATTACACTGTTAGAAATTTCTTCGCATCAAATCAAATAAATTGCTGATATAGGTGATATTGTATCGGGTTCCTTTCACAATTTGAGATTATTCTTGTGCATTTAAACAAATTTAGATCATACTGTTTGAAATTTCTCGGAAAAATTAGTTAAATAACTATGAAGAAAGAGGATTCAGGGTGTCAATTTAAGTGGTGATTATGGAATATCAGGTGAGGTTGGAATTTGTATTTGGTATAGTGGGCCAAGTTGAAGATAATGAAAACAGAAGGGTGATGAAAATTATACTTGAACTGGATCAGAATTAATAAAAAGCTTTTATTTAGTATACTTGCAGAGCTCGAGGTACCAAATATACATATCATTCATAAGAATTTCAGTTGAACAAGTTTTACATAATAATATTAAAATAGGTCAGGCCATGGGAGACAAATCCCCACGACCTGCCTAGTGTAAAGAT